GACACACAGATACACAACACAGACATACACAGACACACACACAGACACACACTGAGACACCCATACAGACACATACAGACACACACAGACACACACACACAGACACACTCTCTCTCTCTCTCTCTCCTAGTTCAACTGGATCGAGGCATTTCAAGCTCCACACAAGCTGTGGACGCGGACGGAGAGGACCGTACATTCTAAGGCCAACACAGAAAGAGCTCTCCGACGTTCTTTTCATCCGAAACGCCCTGTAAGGGACCCAGATGCCCAGGGAGGGGACACAGGTCCCAAGGGGCCAGCGGAGGGCGGCTTCTCCGGTCGCAGGCCCGAATGTGCCCACACAGCGTGAGGCCCAGGACACTCGCCGGCGTCTGCCGGGCTGGCGGCTTCTCTGACACGTCGCCAGGAGCAACAGAAGTGAGCTGGGCAACGCACACCCGGGCCCGGCTACCTCAGGCGGGACAGAAAGGGCCTTGCCGGCAGTTGGTTCATCTCCCGCAGCCAGGACCCCTCCCACAGAGCGGCCTCATGCTGCGCCAGGGAGCGGCTATGGGGAGAGGCAGTCGGGGGCACGGCTGGGGTGGGGAAGCAGCGCTCTAGAATCCCCAAAGCGCGGCAGTTCTGCGAAGGGATGAGACACGCCCTCTGCTTTCTCTGGGTCAGAGCCCTTCTTTAAACTCCATTTGGGCCCCAGGAGCTGCCCAGGCAGCAAGCCTGGCTCCGAGGCAGCTGACCAGCGCCCCCTTCAGGCCATTCGCGCCGGCCGAGCTCAAGGAACCCCATGCAGCCCTGCCCTGGGGACCCCTCTAGTTCGGACCATGCCATACTTTGGTTAAAACCAAGGGACGGCCAGCAACCTGGGGGTGGGGGGCGTGCTGCGGGAGTGGGGGGCGCTATGGGAGTAGGGGGTGGCCTTTCAGGCACAAGAGCAGGCGCCACAAGGAGCCTGGGCTCCTGACGGGAGCACCCGCCTTTGGCTTCATCACCTCTCAACTTGGGAGCAGCAACGAGTGTTCCATGGATTGAACGTTCTTGTACAAGACCCCCAGATATGGGGGGCTTGCCAGTTTGGGGGGGGTTGGGGCGGGGGGTTCCTCACATGCTCCTTACTGGAGATGTGGTCGCTACAGACTCGGAAATTTTCTAAGGTCGACTGGCCTGTATGGTGTGGATGGGGCTGAGCCCCGCCAAGCAGCCCGGATGTCTCAGGACTGACCAGAGGACCATGCAGGCCCATCCTTCATCTGGTCGACAGCACGGGGCAGCCCGAGCGTTGCCGCCTGTTAGTAAGTAGCCTTGGGGACTTGTCCACAGCCTTCCCTCCTTAAATGTCACGAGGGGCAGTGGAGGGAGCCGGGGTGACCTGAGCCAGGACAGGGGTGCGTGCCCACGGGGAGCAGGGCGGCCGTGAGGATGTCTCTGCATGGCGGCTCAGGCAGGGAGGGCGCCGGGCGGGCCTGCAGGCCAGATGGCTTTCTGTGGGACCTGCTCTTGAAGGCACGCTGTGGGGAGCCAGGGCGGGGTGTGGGGGGACAGAGTGGGTACCTTTACGTGTACCCGAGTCTTCTTCCTTTGAGAGGAGCGGTAGCCACTGGCCTTGCAGGAGTTCTCTGTTCCAGGGGCAATACTCCCCTTCTACAGCAGGGGGAGTCAGACACCCACAAACAGCACCAAAAGCCCATGTGGGGATAAAGGGAGAAAGAGTGGAGGGGAGGAAAGAGAACAAGAGAGGAGCGTCATCTCCGGCCGTGAGACAATCTCACCCTGTCGCTCTCTACTCGGGCTCCCAGCCCAAGAGACACACACACCGCGGGCCAGGACAAAGGTCCAGAGCTTGGCCAAACTGGTCAGTATGTTTCTCTAGTTAAAGTCTGTCCCCTGGAGGTTTGGTCTTGACACCAGTTCCAGGCCTAGGAAATTAAGTCTGTGTGAGGGAAAGCAGGGCGAGAGGGCAGGGGAGCCGGCTTTGACCCTAACTGTGCCTGGGCTAAAGCCACTGAGCCTTCACCCCAGAGAGGGAGAGTTTCCAACAAATGTCTTTCCCCAGAGGCGTTGTGGACGGGATCACCTGCCCACAGGGATACCGAGGCAGCCTGGGGGCTGCAGCAGACACAGCAGTGTGAGGCAGGCACCGGCGCCCACGGCCCGGCCCGGTGCCAGCACCTCTCGGGCCGGGCCCCCTCAGGTGCCATCCATGAAGTGAGGAGGGTGGGCGGGTGTCTCCTTCCTGGGTCTCACTCTCGCCTGTTAAAGGCAGGAGCACAGGGCAACCAGGTGTGAAGAAGCCCCTTAGGGCCGAGACAGGGGCCCCGGGTCTGCACGCCTCTCACCACGCACCCGACTCCTGGACAGCCAGGACGTCCATGCAGAGGCGGGGGAAGGGGTCAGCAAGTTCTTCCTCGTGACCCAAGGTCACGCGGAACCAGAGACGCAGGGGAGGATGGAAACATCTCGAGGGCAGGGCGAGGGACGTCCCTAGGCCAGCGGACCAACTTCAGAGCTTCTCCTCAGGATGGGGGTCCACCAAACCCCCGTGGTCGGCTCTGAGCTGCAGAGTCTGGAAAGCTAAGTTCCCTTCATTACTAACATCGGCTTAACTGAAACCAGAGGGGAAAGACGGGAGAGGATGAGGAGAGCGTCAGGAGAAACCTCATCTGGTGACGTCTACACCAGCCTCTGCTTTCTGCTGCTGATTTCTCATCAGAAGCGCAAGGGGACATGGTCTCCACGCTGACGGTGGACGGTCAGAGGCAGGAGGCGCCGTTACAGAGCCGTGGGAGACACGCCCACGTCGCCTGCCCACGTCGCCTGGCCACGTCGCCTGGCCACGTCGCCTGGCCACGTTGCCCAGCCACGTCGCCCGGCCACGGGCGCCTCTTGCACTTGGGGACGGGATGCGTCAGGGTGGGGAGAGGAGGCTGTTTCCTGACCTTCGCTGGACTCCTCCTCCTCCTCCTCCTCGTCCTCGTCGTCCTCCTCGTCGTCCTCCTCCTGCCCGGGCTGGCAGCTCCTGGAGGCCTCGAGCTCCTCTTCGCTCTTCCCTTTCAGGAGAGCATGGATCCGCACGGCCTCCTTCCAGGGCACGCCGCCCAGGTCCGAGGTGGGCAGTGGAGGCTCGTCCTCGTCCTCGTCCTCCTCCTCCTCCATCTCGGACTCGGAGCTGCTGCAGGGAAACAGCACATGCCCGAGTGAGGGGGTGACGGACACTGGGAGGGGCGGTGCAGAGCCCGTGGGAGCAAAGTGTCAGCGAGCACCCTCAGGGGCACCCACCAGGGCTCCCCGCTCAGGCCGCACGTGGAGGGGGCGGAAGTGGGGGTGCACATATGTGCGTAGAAGCCGACAGACCCACACAAGCAAACGGCCCAATCTGGAGGTGCCTCCGGGACCCGGCCCAGGCCATGCACCGAGGACAGGCCACAGAGGTGACCGTAGCGGGCTGTGGGCTGGTCTGAACACAACTCAAGGCCCTGGAATCAGCACGGCGCCTCCTCGCCTCCAAGTCTCTTTCCTGCACGTTCTCTCAGGTGTCACCTGCTCATCTGGGCTTTGACGGGCCCGGTCGGGGGGAGCAGAGCCAGGGGAGCACAGGGGCTAACAACAAGGTTTGCTCCAGCCTGAGGTGAGATGAGCAGGGATTCTGCTGCACGGGGCGTGGACCCACGATGACGACGGCACCAGGGGTGTGAGCACAGCACGGGCGCGTCCCTGGGTTAGCTCACTTGGGCCGATCACTCCAGGGTGCAGCCTGTATTATCCCACCGGAGCCTACGGCGGTGACGGCAGAAGCCGGGAGTTCTGCGGCCGTGAGCAGCTGCAGGCGGCAGGCCCAGGAGGGTGGCTGTGCCCAAGCCCCTGGCTGTGGGTCTAGCAGCCTTGGGGGGTGAGGCAGGGGAGTTGGCAGATGGCCGGACTGAGGCACCCTGCTGTGCAGAGCCCGACTGATCCTCCTGGGTGGCTTTCCAGGGAAAATAGGGCATCACGGCAGTTCCATTGTGCTGGGAGAGCAACTGCAGCCTTCTGCCAGCTCGGCGCTCCCCCACCCCACCCCGCCTGCTGTTCCCCCAAGCTGCAGTCGCCGCTGCCTGGCGCAGCCGGGCTCCTCTGGCTGTGGCTTCCAGAGCCTGTTCTGCCGTGCAGACCAGCTAACACTAGCTGCTGCTTTTTTTTAACTTGAATTTCAGTAGGACAGGTGCACGGGTCACATCCTGTTTCCATATTCTATCCTGCTTCCTTGCACTCTGTCATAAACGCGAGGAGGCCGCTCTCCTGGGACGCCCTGCCCACATCACCTCTGCAGAAAAGCTATCACTACAGAGACTTGCCTACCCTCCCCGGAGGTCAAGGTCTTACTAGCTCACCCCTAGCCGAGCCGGTGCTCTCTCGAGCCCGCAGCAGCAGGAGAGCGTCTCTGTGGGTGCTCTGGACAGAGACGCAGCTACGTGCAGTGAGGCACTGAGATGGTGCGGGGAGGCGGGCCCCAGGGAGGCTGCCCCGAGCGTGTCTGGCCCCCAGCTGACGTGGGTGCTTAGCAAACACCCACTGGAAAACATACTCAAAACTTGAACCAAGTTCTGTGCTCTTCCTCCCACACGTCACTTGACTCGTGCTGGGAAGTGTCCAGTGACTAACTCTGGTGCTCACCATGCTGATCAGAAACCCCTGCCTGTCAGGCCCAGAGCTCCCACCCCAGAAGGCCGGTGGGAAGTCTGGCCAACGCTGATGTCACCCGCCTTCTTAAGCTTCTCTTTCCTTATGGCGCTCTTGATAATCTTCCATTGAGAGCACTGAGCCCCTTCCGCCAGACACAGGCAGGTCCGGGCAGGTAGTGAAAGTGAATTCCAGGTAAAGACAGCAGAGGGGGGCTGGGGTGGGGGGTGGATGTAGGGGCTGGAGCTGCTGTGTGGCTGGGACATGGCGTCCTGCTCCTCTTTTTACACAGTCTGGACAGGTGAAGCCCCTGACAGCAGTGACCCTGGGGTTGGGCCAGGAGCCCCTGATTCCAACCCTGGGGCTCCCTCCCCTGAACCAGCAGCACCACCCCACCTCCCAGCTGCTCTAGGGCCCCTGTGGGCCCTAGGGGAGACTGTTTTGCCAAAATATTTGTATACAACAATCCAAGGACAGACCTGTGGCTTGTTTTTCCTTTAAGAGCAGTCAAGAGCCAGTGCTTGGTGCCTGCGTGTGTGAGAATAAACACTGGCCCTGAATGAAGTCAAATGGACGGGATGCCTACCGGCCAGGAGATGCCACACCTCAGTGGGGTGGGGACAGCGGCTCTGGGGCCTCAAGGGAACCGGGCAGATTCCAGGGCTGGACTTGGAGTCCATCCCTACTCCTCGACTTAGTCCCCCAGTTTCCTTATTTCGGAAGGGACGAGCTGTGGGCGTGTCTACGCTGCAGGTGTAAGTAACGGAGTCAGGCCTTTAACACCTCCAGCCTCTATGGCTATCACCTGCGGCCCAGATCGTGCTCATGCAGGAAAGCTTGGGACTGTGGGTGCCCAGCATGCGGGCCTGACTGGACTGGAGCCTGGGGGTGCACACCTGAGCCCAGAGGGGGCTAAAAGCTTTAGTAGCAGTGGCAGTGAGGGCAAGTGATGCGATTGCAGAAGAGGTGAGATACGAGACGACACAGGAGACCAGAGAGCTCAGAGAAAGAGCGTAAAGATTTGCAGGGGGCTGGGAGACTCGGAGGCTCGGTGGCTGCCCACTTCCCAGCCTCCCCGCCTGGCCCGGGCCTGCCATCTTGCACGCTGGCCTCCCTGCGTGGAGTGCCTGTATCCCTGGCTTCCTGAGAGAGCATTAAGGACTGAAAAACCCTCCGAGGGCTGTGGGACTCTTTATCCACCTGCCCGAATCGACAGTGAACCCGCCCTGTGCTTACGGGCACTAGAACGGGATTCCCAAGGGGAGGACTGAGTGAGGCCAGGGACGGAGAGCCCTGGCACCTCAGCTCCTTGCAAGGCTGTGACAGCACAGGCAGCAGCTCCTGTGAGCCCTGGGAGGCCTACTCGCCCTTGGAGTCAAGCCCTCCGCCAATCCTGAGGAAGGCCCGGTATGGCCTCGTTTCACAGGTGAGGAAATGGAAGTAGAGAGACCGCATCTTGGCCCTCCCTGCTGGCGCAGCGGGTTAAAGCGCAGCACTAAGAAGCGAAAGCCACCTCAGCATGAGTTCCATCCCGCCCCGGAGGTGACCACATGGCGCGGCAGACCTCTCCTGACCCGCCCGCTGCTCCCCTCAGCAGAGCACTTCGTCGATCTGCCTGTTCTGCTCCCCACTCTGTCCCTGGTGAATCCTCTCACCACCCTGCACCTCTGGCCTGTACCCCAGTTCTGTGTGCACAAATAAATCGTTAGAAAACATCTTGTCTAGGGTCAGCCCAGCTGTTAACTGGGCGCCTTCTGCCAGCGGGAGCATCAGCGGGGCGAGGCTGCGGGAAAGCCACCGGCAGGCCACACGGGGAAGCCGGGGCGGAGGGCGCACGCGGGCTGACCTGCTGCCCACGTCCTCCTCGGGGCCCTTGTCCAGCACGCTGCTCAGGTTGTGCTCGGCCTGCGTCTCCTCGGGCACCTCCTCCAGCTCCTCAGCCAGCTTCACAGACAGGCGGTAGTTCTCCAGCTCGATCCTTTCCGGAGTGCCCCTCAGCCGCTTGGCAATGCTGGGCTCCTCCAGGCCGTTCACGCTGGAACCTGCGACACAGAGAAGCCGAGATCTGATGACAAACGAAGGGTGGAACCCGCGCTGAGGGACGCCAGAGCTGGTGTGGGGCGGGGAGCCCAGACAGAGCAGAAGCCACGCATCCCCGGCGGGCAGGACTCGCTTCAGTGAGAGGAGGACCCCTCCCCACCAGCCAGCGGAGTCGCGGGTTTGGGGGATGCCAGGGGAGCCCCTGGGGTACAGCAGAAGTTTGCTAAGTAGGAGATGCCCAAACCCTAAGGACTAACCCGAGGGGAGAGGCATGCTCCACTCTGTCATCCCCGAAACCCCTGGTTCAAGCAGCGGTGGCAGGGTGGGCGTGACGGGTGTGGGCGAGAACTTGAGGACCTTCTCCTCATTGCCAAGGAACCGAGTCCCTCTGAGCAGCTTTGGTGGAGAAGGTGAGTGCCTCCAGCCTCCCACTCCCCCCCACTCCCCCCACCCCCCTAACTGCGGGGTATCCAGTACTGTTCATACACTCGGTTTGGCTGGTCCTGAGGCGTCCAGGCAGGCAGCTCTGCAGTCACACCTGACCTATCTGCCTCCTGGCGCCGGGTCCACGTACACCCTGGTGCTGGTCAGAGCACCAGAGCGAGGCTGCGTCCCTGCCAGTGTACCCTGGGCAGAGGCCGGCTGCCCTGTTGCTGGGGACCCCGGCTTGACTGCATAAGGTGATGCTCACCCCCCGCAGCTGTAAGGAGACAGTCGCCCCCTTTCCTCAATTAACAAGCGATCTAGGGGTGACATGCAGAAGCCCGGGGATCCCTGCACCCTTCCGTCGCTGGATGTCACATCCATGGTGCTCCTTGCCTGAGCCAATTATGACGCCGAGTCACCGTTGGTGACTTTAAAAATGCTATCATTCCTCGTAAGGAAGCACTTTCCTCCTTTTACTTTTTCTACTAAAGATGTCGTATTTGTTTCGTTCCTTCCCTTGGTGTCCCCCAAACGGTGACCCTCATTATTGCCGTTACTCCTTTTGATGTCCCTCTTTGTCCCAATTTGGACAGAGGAGGCACGAGGCCGATCACTTGTTCTTTAATGGAATGTGGTGCAGCAAACAGGTAGGTTAGCACCTGACTCCGCCAGCGGCCAGCTGAAAGGTCTTAAGAAATCGCTTAAGTTCTGAGAACTCATTTTCTGAGCTCTAAGTGAGGCCAATTCCCATCTCCAGGGTTGGTTATTATGAACAGGGAAGAGAATTATATACCTAGGCACAGTCACCAGGGGAAGGGATGCTTTGGGCCATGAAAACTGGGGGGACCGTGTCTCCCCAGAGCTTTGTGAACACTGAGGGGGAAGGAGACCGTCACCACGCAGTCCACGCCCACTGGCCCACGTGGGAGGTGCTGCACTCTCTCCACTAGGGCGAGCCCCACACAGGCCCAGTTTTCCCAAAGGGAACCTGGTATCAGGGGATTCCTGGCAAGTACTGCAAATTCACCAAATGCCAAAATAGGCTCCTGGCCCAATCCTCAAGCGCCATGGAAAATTGGGAAGGGAAAAAAAAGAAGTCTGCTGTCCTGAGCAAGTGCTATGTGCCAGGCTAGTCCGACGGTGAAGAGAAACTCAGATATCAAAAGCGAGACCAGAGGAGCCCCGGGTGGCGGCCACCACACCCTAACGGACACAGAACCTCCCTCTTGTCCGCTCCTGGAGCCGGCCACAAGAAGAGACTGTATTAGGTCAAGTCTCAAAATAACCGGCACAGGCGAACTTGGAGGGTCAAGGTGCAAGCAGCGGGGTCAGGCCGCCTGGCCGAGCCCCACTGGCCCATTTCACTTGCTTCACGCCCAGCAGCACACAGGGGCTGCCCAGCTGGAAGGAGGCACCGAGGCTGGGAGTCCTTCGAAGGCTGATTCTTGATTAAGCCAGCGCGGGCAGATGTCAGGCCACTGGAGGCTCGTCCAGCTTCACACATAGCGAAAGGAAAAACTCCCAGGGTCCGGGCTACATCCTAAATAGGGAAAAAGGCTCCGGCCTGACCTAAGGGCTCTGTTTTGGAACGGTCACTGCCTGTCTGAGCGCCAGACGTCGCCTGAACAGGACAACTTGCTCTCAGCCGAGGGGCCGGAACTGCCCAAAGCCTTGCATTTGTCTGACTGCTGGAGAGGCGTGAGGGACGTGGGTGGTGGGCCAGAGGCGGGGCCTTCCGGCTCCCCAGCTGGCAGCACTCCTCCCTGCTCTTCCTGCGGTGGAGACAGCTCCAGGACTCGGTGGGGCGAGCTGCTGAGGGCACTCTAGGCCTCTGGGCAATGGTGAAGAGGCTCAGGGCCTGGCTTTGGAGGCCAAAGGAAGACTTTTCCCAGGCACGGCTATGGCAAGCATATCTACCGTCGGGAGACTCTTCCGGGGCTCCCTCCTCAGAGGGAACAGGAATTCAAATAATGTTTCCCTGCGATCATGAAGTCTTTCTGCTTGAGAAGCAGTGATGAAGGACTACCTTCTGGCCACGGATGGTCACAACACCCCTGTCCATCACTATGATTATTCCACTGACAGTTCAAGCATCAGTGATGTTCAATAATATGCCCAAAGGCTCAAATGAGGCCGATGGGCCCCAGACCACACTGCTGTCTGACTCAGGGACCAGGGCTCCTTCTGCTCCACCGTGAGGGTGTGAGGGTGCCATCGAATTGCCTCTTACACATGAGCTATTCAGTTGTCTTCTGGGGTAACTGTTTTTATGTGGGGGCATGAAGAAAATTAGGTCACACAGATTCAGGGGAAGCTCAGCGATTTTGGAGATATTTAAGCACCAAGAACTGAGAAAATCTCAGCCAAACATTACACAACAGAGACCAGGGAGGAAAAATCCTCAGAGGGAACGAATCCGAGTGGTTATCAGGAAAACCCAACCCAACAGGACAGACTGGGGTGGTGTTCCTAGGGTGCTGAGGGTACCTACCCTCCCTACTGGGGTTCTAAGGGGCTCTGACATCACCACAGCCCTTTGTTCTAAATCTGCACAGTCCCATGGACTTCTGCTTTAGAAGTTAGTTTCCTAAGATGAAGAGATCTCCCAAAGGTACATTTTGACAGATGGAAATCCTGGCACACAGCACTATCTGGCCAAGGCCAAGAGGTATCTTCTAAGGTATACACCATCCACTAAAAACGATCTTGCCACTGAGTCCTCATCTTTCTCTTGATTTTATATTTTTCATGCCAATAAAACTCAATTGATTCTGCACTCAGCTGAGCCATCTGGCCAAACAGCCCCCATGCTGGTGTCAGGAAGACACGTCATGGGCCTGTCGAAGCCCTGGAGTTTGGTTGTCTTCTCTTAAACCACATGATCTGGGCTTTCTCCTCCAGCCGCCCACCTTCACGTAACTGAGGTGAGACTTCAGGAAGAGCTGGTCTGTTCAGTGTGGCCTGAGCTAACAGTCTTATCAGGTCATAAACGTGCCTCACAAACCAGGAGACCCTGGAATGAACACACGTAACCTAGCACGTCAGCGCAGCTGTGGAGCTGATCTTTGGATCGTAATAACAGGACAGAGGCTGGACAAGGTACAGCCCTTCTCTCCTACTTCTGCTTCCTGTTCCCCAACTCAGCCTGTTGGTTCTACTTCTGGACATCTTTGAGCCTGATCTGGAAAAAACATGTTGCAGAGAGGCCCTTGAAGGCTGATGGACAAGCGCCCTGAGCCACCTCCTGAGGGCCTTTCTAGGGCCTTTTGCCACAGGATCAGAGGCCATGGGGCAGCCATTCCAGTCATCCTCAGACCACATGATGCATGAGGGGAAAATCAAAAGAGGAAATCAGGTCCCCTCTCCTGCAAATGCAGCAGCACTGAAGCCTTTGGGGGCCAGGGGTTGTGGGTCAAAGCAGCACAGAGGTGACAGGTGTAAACCCCTCTGCCCAAGACAAAGCTAACCTGTCCTGTCAGGCCTGACACTCAGCGGGGTGCTGAAAACTGAGCCTTCTCTAAACTCTGTAAGGCTTGGTCTTCCCTTTTTTCTATAGTGAAGAGCCCCAGGGCATTATGAATTAGTAGGTCACTTCATATCTCATCCACGCAGAATGACTAAAAAGCAATGCCAAATTTAGCCAAGCCCTTGCAGAGATAACAGTGCTTCAGGAGAGCTGGTACACCCTGCGGTCCACCCCCCCACCACATTCCGCTGTGGACCAGGGGGCAGAGTCCTCTTACTGTTCCTCAATCTCTGTTGGGTAGGAACATGCCTCAGTGGCCATTCTGCCCTGACCCCACAGGTTGCACAGACCAGAGAGAAGATCAGAAGGTTGAAATAGTCTGACTCACTCTTACTCCAAGGACTCCAGTATTTTCAATCCCTACCAATGATGAGCACATTTGATATTCTTGTATTGCTTTTTAAATAAACTCCCTGATGATGCAACGGGTTAAAACGCAGCACTAAGCAGCTATCTGCAGCCACTGCAGTGAGAGTTTGATCCCCGGCCAGGGAGCTGACCCACATGGCACAGCAGACTTCTCCTGACCCGCCTGCTGTTCCCCTCAGCAGGGTATTTCAGTCCATCTTCCTGTTCTGCTCCCCACTCTGTCTCTGGTGAATCCTCACCCCCCCACCCCCCTGCACCTCTGAACTGTACTCCAGTTCTTATATGTATAAATAAATACACCTTAAAAAATAAATATACAAACTTCCATACATTTCCACTTATCTACTCTGGACAACAACCTTATGAGGTACAGAATAACCCGAGGCATTTTTTCCATTTTATCATTTCATAAACCGGGAAATCGGTGGCTCAGGTTCATCACCGAGGGTATAGCAAGTGTGACAGGCTGCTCTATGGAACGCAAACGAGCCTCTTCTCCTTGCAAGATCTACACCTGCTCCACTCAGACCCGCCTGTCTGTGAGTCCTGCTTAGGCCAAAGGAGGGATTCCAGGAGGCAGAAAGAGTCTGATGCTCTGTTCTCCCTCCCTCACTCTCCCCTAGCTGGGTGCGAGAAACCTGTGGGAAGATTCTGTGAGAGGTTCTGTTCCTCTCAGAGCTG